CTCTCGCCGTGGGGGGCAAGCCTTCGCCGCAGGCGGCTTCGGCGGCGCGGGGGTGCCAACACACCCCACCCACCCCGCGCGATTGACTCTTAATCGGACGACAACTCACCCCGCCTCGCTTCGCTCGGCGGGGCGCTTCGGATGAAAAATCACTATGAATGTGCAGAGTGTAACAAAATTGTTATATATTTGCCGCGTCAACGCGGGACAAGACCCCGCTAAGGTATCACTTAACACTTACTTAACTATGGCAATTATGCAAGGTATTACGGGCAAGCTGAGCGGCAAAATGGGTTCTGCCGTCTTCCGCATCCGCAATGGTGCCCAGGTTGTCACCCAGTACAACCCGATCGTAAAGAACCCCGACACTGCAGGCCAGCAAGAAGCCCGCGCAAAGTTCAAGCTCCTTTCCCAGCTTGGAGCCATTATGGAAAGCGGCTTTGGCACTATGGCCGTCACCAAGAGAGCTGGCAAGAGCGCACCCACGCAACGCAACGCGTTTATGCAGCTCAACTACCGACTTGTCGCAGTGGATATGTCCTCCGACGTTCCTGAGCGCGCCAAAATCAAAATGGACAAGGTTCAACTCACCAAGAGCGCTCGCCCACTTGGCGAAATTAGCGGTGACGCCTCCGAAGTTAGCGTTTTAAACGTTCCAGATGAAGTGAAAAGCGTGCGCTTCGTTGAAGTTGTGTATCGTCAAGTCCAAGTCGTAGACCCCGATACGGGTTCATTCATCATCAAGGTACGCCCCGAAGTCAAGAAAGTACAAGATACTCCCGTAACGGGAACGGGCGCTGAAAGAGGTGTATCATATGAGCCTGGTGTCGGTGAAACACTTCAAGGATCAACTATCCTGGCCTACGGACTTATCCCCACAGCCAGCACCGCTGGCCGTGTGGACTTTGACAATATCCACACCCCGAGCGATGAGGATTTTGTCGGTGCTATCGCACTCGACCAAATGGTTCGTGATGGCGACTTGCTTGAAACGATGACCATCGGATTGAATGTGCAAGGTGGAAACTAAAGCCTTTCACAAAGCTACTTTCTTCATAACGAGCCCCCGGGTATTTCCTCGGGGGCATTTTATTTGCCCTGCCGCACCGCGCCGCGATCGTGACCGAACGCGCCGCGCCGCGCCGCCGCCCGCGCAAGCCAAAAGTGAGGAAATCGGCAGTTTCAGTGAAAAAATCGGCACGTTCAGTGAAAAACCATTGACAAGTCCGAAATTATCCCTACATTTGCCTTGCCTTACGTGAGAGAGGGCGCGCCGCTACTGGGGAGTTGCAGCCAGCCCAATGGCCGTAAGGTCGGACTTGAGCGGTTATTTGCTTGAGTAATGAGGCGGGGGGTCTTTACTGCATTTTGCCCCTCGCCTCTTCTCTTTAAATACCAAGGCCGCAACCATCACGCTAACACTCCCCGCGCAAATAACCGATTTTATGTATTTCACCTACAAGGAAAACCGATATTGCGTCAACCTAGACTGGCTGCAATACTCCGTACACCTTCGCGAGCCCGAGCCCGAAATCCTATGCCCTGAAGGATATCGCATCGAGCTTTGCCAAGGCAACAACATCTTCGAGCACCGCGCGCTCGTCTTTGACTCCCGCGGTGCTAAATACCTTACCCTCCTTTGGAAGCCTTATTCAAAAGTGCTGTCATCCAACCTAATGACCGTACAAGTCGCGAACGAATACTTATACCTAATGAGCGGCCAAGGTGTATTATGGTCGTTTCGTGACGTTCAGCAAATAGTTGACTGCACCTTTAATGCGATTGGCCGTGTTGATATCTGCGTTGATTGGGAAGGCTCAAGCGAACGAGATGAGTTCTTGAGACATTTGAATAGCGGCCACTATTACGCACAACACAAGTCGGAAGGATCCAATTGGTGGCACGAAATCGAAAAGGATGGGCACAAGCGAAAGCAACTTCATTGCCTCACGTGGGGAAGCCAAAAGTCCGAAATCAAAGTAAAGGTGTACCACAAAAGCCGTGAACAAGGCTTGATTGGTGGTGATGAACCCGAGAAGCCGTGGATTGTACGAGAATGGAAAGCCAACGATATGGATATCCGCAACGTTTGGCGACTTGAGTTTTCATTATCGGGCGCAGGGCAACTGCGATATAAAGGCCAGCCCATAACACTTGACAACGTGGCATCCGAACAATGGTGTCTAGATGTGCTTTGCGAACTATACCACAACCGATTCGTTACCAGAATAAATCAAGGGCGAAGGCAAGGCCACCACAACAACGACTCCCGCGTCTATCTCTTCCCTTTTCCAACACGCTCGGCTGGCCTCGCGTGGGCTGACCCAAAAGGCCGAGACTACGAACTACCTGCTTCGATTACTCTTCTGCGTTCAATGATGCGCCAAATTGACAACCCTGCAGTTATGGCATCAAAGCTCACATTCGAAGAATACGCAACCACAATCCTACATATCATTCAAAACCACAAGTTAGATGGCTACTTTGTCAGGACTTATGAACAATGCCCAGAAGAATATTTCAGTAACCTTTGGCTAAATGTCGGTGGCGGGTTACGTACTTGCACTCCTAGCCCGTCAAGGCTTATGGATTAACCACTCTAGGCCGCTATCATCAAAAAAAACTCCCCATAACCAAAGCTCACACATTATGCACAATTTATCAAACGTAATTCTATCCTGCAACGATTGTCCTTTCAACGGACAAGACAACGTCTTTTGCCGTAATTGCTCAATCCCTGCGGCTCGAGCCGCAAAGCTCGCCCACCGCATCGCCCGCCACCACCGCCGCGCCTCGGCGCGCCGCCGTCGTTGGCTTCGTCAACAATCGGTCGTTTATCGGGTCGGGTTCGGCTATGGCTGGGGTCTATGGGTGCGAAGGTAACGTTCGTTGCTTCTTCAATTAGGAGGCTACGGGTCTAGTCTTTCAGTTTGGTTGTTGCTTCTTCAATTAGGAGGCTACGGGTCTAGACTTTCAGTTTGGTTATTGCTTCTTCAATTAGGAGGCCACGGGTCTAGACTTGTTTTTTGGAGGTTGGTCATTGATTTGGCTAGCCTCTATGCTTTTTTTTTGGGGCGCGTCCCCCTCGCCCTTCGGAAAGTCCAACCCTCTTTGCCCCGGTCGCTGGGGTCGCGTGCTTCGGGGGTAACCGCCGCGAGCAGCCCTCTTTCAACGCGCCGCGGCCAAGCCCCTCCGCCCGACTCGCGCCGCACGAGGCCACCGCTCTTAAAACCACCCCGTTTTGGTTTGTCCCCAGCCCCTTCGGGGGGCTTCCAGCCAGCACACCCGCCGCTTAATCCCTTTTCAGCACCTCCCGCTTTTTCGCCCGCCTTTAAACTGGCTTCGGCTTTTGCGCCAGCTTGGCTTCCAGCCTTCAGCCCCTTCGCTTCGGGGCTTTTTCGCGCCGCCCCCCTCGGCTCCCCTTCCCGCCCTTCGGGTGTCCCTCGC